ATTCCCCCAAGGCATGCTTTGTCCCCACTATTAAATGTCTTCTTTATTTTAAATCTTGTCCCCCATGCCTACATTAAATAAATACCACATTCCCAACCCATTATAATTTATCCCCCATGCTTAACATAAACAAATGCAATATTCACTCCCATTATATTTTGTCTTGTCCCCCATTATGTTAAACAAGTATATCAAAAACCAACCCATTATATTTTGTCCCCCATGCTTAACATAAAGAATCAAAATAATGTTCAATTACCAAACTACCCCTCCGACCTTATTGCAATTACCATTCTACCTCCGAATGCAATGCAATTTACCAAATTACCCCCATCAGCTCTAAACAATCAATTAATCATAACTTAACCAAAATATAGCCAAGATGACCAATTTCTCAACAATCTTCAACAACAAATCATATGAACACGATGAACAACACAACTCAAAATTAATGGAAGTAAATTAACCATATCGGGAACCAATCCTGGTTAACTTAGACCAAAAATGAATGAGCAAAGAAACAACAAAATACATGATTCAAATTAAAACAACAAATCAAAAACAAACATAAACTCACATTAAATCACTGGATTAAACATGAACTTCAAACAAAGATGAACATGAACTAAATCTATTTTTTAAACAACAAACATGACGGATTCTCATGATTCAAACAACATTAATAATTTCTGGAAAAATACATAACACATGAAACAAATTGAAGAAATAATTAATTAAATTCCAATTTGAATCCAACAAATATTAAACTGACAAATTTTTACCTAAACAATACAACAAATATGAAATAAACATGAAAAATAACTAATTAAATGNGTTTTGACAAAATGAAGAAGGGGTGTTGGGTATTTGGGTTAATGGGGCGGACCGGGTCGACCCGTTCTGAAGTGGACCGGGTCATGGGGAAAATTGGGCAATTATTTACGCCTGGGGTTGAAAGTTGAAGAAGTGGCCCAATCCGATTTTTCTTTATATTTTTGTTATCTTTTTTTCTTTTATTTTCTAAAACTAAATTATAAAAATACTTAAATTATTATTAAGAACTAAATTAAGTAATAAAAGCGCAAATTAACTCCCAGTAACAATTAACGCACAATTAAGTAATAATTAAGCATAAAATTGTATATTTTGACATTAAATGCTAAAAATGCAAAAGATGCATATTTTTGTAATTTTTATTTTTGTAAACCAAAATTAATTACTAACAATTGTAGAATTAAATCCTACATGCAAAATGCGACACATTTTTGTATTTTTTATTAATTTAACAAATAAGCAAACACAGATAAATACAAATAATTATCCAAAAAATGTCACAAAAATACTCAAAATTGCACATCAAGGAAAATCATTTTATTTTGAATTTTTTGGGAGTAATTCTCATATAGGGCAAAAATCACGTGCTTACAATAACGAAACATGAAGAAGCATAAAATGGGGTAAACAGAGCAGTAACACATGAGACGACGGGTCGGGTCATCATAGAGAGGATAATAGAGACTAGAGATGCACAAAGGAAACCGACAAATTGCACCAAACTGATAATCCGAGTCAAATCGAGAAAAAAATACCGACTATAATTTGGTGTTAGAAAAAAAACCCAAACATAATTGATTTGATTTAATTTTAACTAAAAAAAGTGAAAGTGAAACTAAATCAGCCCGACATTATATTTTATACATAAAAATAATTATTGAATGTAATTTACAAATATTTTTAAAATTCTTTAATAGTTCTCTCTTTTAATGTATTATTTCAAGCTTGGACTTAGAACTTTTGAATGGTCAAATATGTTTTATAGCCCATAAAAATTAGTAACTCAAAGAAAAATCAAATCAATACTAATGCTAACAAAAAAAAAAATTCAATTCAATAGAATGAAGATAGTATTGAATATATTTTTTTAATAATTTTGCATTGGTTTAGATAGTGAAAATGAACAACTTACACTTAATATTATTTAGTCATGTACTTAATACTTAGCACTTATTAGTCGTACTTATTTTAACATGACTTAGCATTTTTAGATTATGTTTATTTTAATTATGTCTTATTAATTAGCAATATTTATCTTATGCGATTTGTTAAGTATTTTTAGTATAATCCTGACTCGTCTCACATTATTTTCTATTATTTTATTAGGTAACATCTTATATAGTTTTATCTTACTAGGACCTAAGAAATATTAGAGAACAAATTATAAATTTTATGCTATGAAGATTTTGTAGGGAAAAAATCCGAAAACCCCATAAAAACCCAAGAAAACCGAAAAATCTCAGAAAAATCGCAATTGAAAAAACCCGACTTTTGTTGGTTTGGTTTGGTTTATAGATTAAAAATCCGAGACAATTGATTTACTTTGGTAATTAAAAAATCTAAACCAACCAAGCCTATGTATACCTATAACAGAGACACTTGGAGGATATAGTAAAAAAAAAAATCTTTTCAGTCCGATATGCCTTAACTGCATTAGTTCTCAAATTTGTTCTGGAAAAATTACATTTGCCCAATGTTCCCCTTGAACAATGAATGTCTGCAAATTCCATATCCTGTAAATGAATATATAAGCTTTGATTTGAGAGTAAAAGAGTAAGGAAAATGACAATAATAGAACATAGAACGGGGTCGTTTCAAGAGATTGTTGTTGCCTGTTTTACCCCTAAAATATGAGTAACCAATTAAATTTGTATTGAGATCAGATACGTGATTTAGTCCCATACTAACTAATAAGCAAGAAATCAAACGTATAAATTAAAAAAATAAGTTGAATCAAACCAGTGTGCAAGCAAGTCTCGACCTCGAGCTAAGGTGTCCTCGAGGTAGGTCGGTAAGAACAATAATATAAGAACAATAAAGTTAAAAGACAATTCTGATGAGTAACGAGCAAGAAAGTAAGAATATATATTCTTTTGCAAATGATTGATTCTCTTAAAATGAATGGGCTCCCCTTTATATAATAGGGGAGTCCTTTACAAGGTACATTTTCATTTTTAGTAGGGAATCTTATCGGGACAGTTGTCTAACTGCCTAGTATAAATCCGTACAAACACGTACAAACCTATTCCGGAATTTACGCCATGATCTTAGGGATGTTTGCGAGAATCTTGTTCTTTCTGTTACAAACCCATAACGGCATCATCCTGGGGTTGGTCGTAGTCGGCCTCGGTGCTCATCACGTACTTAATTTGATCTTTGTACTCCGTCATCGGGCTCGAGCTCGGTCCATTCTAAACTCGGGCATGAAGCGGCTCTTCGAGCCCATAAAATCGGACATATCTGATTTTGACCATATACAATGCCTTTATCTGTCTATCCCCTTAACAAATGATGATGTTTAGGGGTAACAAATGATTATCCCCTTATCTGTCAAAGTTTATGCAGTTTCACTCTCGAAGTAAAAGTAAACGGCGGGAGTACATCATTAGCTCGGGAGGGTCGGGTGAATCAAAGGCAAACACATCACGTACAACCATCAAAATAAAGGCATTCATAACTACTTGAATTATTTTACTAATCAAATAATCATTTTTATTAAGTTAATATGGCAAATCGCAATAATTATTTGGTCATTATATTACAACTATGACTTGGCATCTCCTTTATTAATTATCTGCAATTTTTTTTTCACGCAATCAAAATGAAGCATAGAGTCATCCAAATGTTATGTGTATTAATCAAGAATAGAAAAGTTTAGAAAAGATAAAAGCAAGAACAAGAACTGCAAGAACATTATACAAACTAGTTTAAGTTTATTAAGGAAATTCTTTTTTACTCTCTTGGTGTTCCTTAGGATGTAGATAATTTTTGTAAAGGGAGTCTCTGCCTTGTTTATTTTCTCTAAATAGGAGGAATCTCCTATCATAGAACTATGTTGTTTAGTATCCTATTTTCCAAACTATTTTACAAGATTGAGTTTGTTCGATCTTTCACTAGGGATTGGGAGTATGGCCTAGACCAGCTCCTATGTAACTTTGTGATATTTTAATATATGAGGTTCACCACAGGAGGTGAAAGCTTGCGTGGATGGATTAGTTAAAAAGAGATATAACCTTGTGGAAATGAGAAATGAGTACAACCTTAATCATATCATATCATCATATCATCATATCATCATATCATATCATATACTATATTATAAGCGAGAAGCTCTTTAGTATGAAATTGATTTACTAAAATATCCTTCAAAAGCTAAACGACCAATTTACCCTCTATCTATGTGACGACCCAAAGGGTCATCACCGGATTTCTCCCCTTTTTCGTGTTTCTGAGGCTTTGAAAATCTCGCTTTTAGTTGTCTCGATTTACATGCGCTGTCTGGACGCGTAGCCGGAAAGCTTTTATGTTGAAATATGTTAATTGTGTGAAAATTTTGATGAATTTTGATATTAATATTGTTAAAGTTGACTTTGGTCAATATTTTGGGTAAACGAACCCGGACCCATGATATGACGGTCCTGAAGGGTCCGTAGAAAAATATGGGACTCGGGCGTATTCCCGGAATCGAAATCCGAGGTCCCGAACCCGAGAAATGAATTTTTGAAAGAAATTATTTTCTGAAATTTGATATGAAAATTTGAAATGAAAATGAGTTAGAAAATATATGTATCGGGCCCGTATTTTGGTTCTGGCGCCTGGTACAGGTCTTAAATCTGGTTTAAGCGCTTTCTGTGAAATTTGGTCGAAATCGGACGTCGTTTGACGTGTTTCGGACCTAAATATCTAAAGTTGAGAGTTTATGAAACTAGAATGAGAAATGATGATTTTGGGGCGTGATTCATTGATTTTGATGTTGTTTTGTCGATTTGATCGCTCGAGTAAGTTTGTGGGATATTGTTGAGTTAGTGTGTGTGTTTTGTTAGGAGCCCCGAGGGATCGGGAGTGATCCGGAGTTGGTTCGGGGTGGTTTTTGCACTTAGAAACATAGCAGATTTTCTGCAATTTTTACCAGAAAATCCCTTCTTCATGTTCGCACTCCTGTCCCGCGTTCGCGTAGCTTCAGTGGTTTCCCTCCTTTGCGTTCGTGGACACGTCGCCGCGTTCGCGTAGCTCTGGTTTCCCATTAACCGCGTTCGCGAGTCCTCTCTCGCATTCGTGTACCAGCCAGTCCCAGACCCCAGCCCCTTCTTCTACGCGTTCGCGATTAGCACCTCGCGTTCGTGATGCTTTGATCCATCCACCCTTCGCGAACGCGTCCCCATTCACGCGAATGCGAAGGGCATTTTTGCCCAGCGAATTTTAAAGTTTAAAACAGAACAGTAGCTCGGGATTTAACCATTTTTCACACGAGCTCTTCTCTCCAACACCCCATAGACGATTTGAAAACTCTTTTTCCTCCATAGCTTCTTGGGTAAGTGTTCTTAACTTCATCATCTCTTAATTCCTTCATCTAATCACTAATTTTCTAGCCCTAAATCATGAATTCAAAGTAGAAATTGGGGGTTTTGGGTAGAGTTAGGGCTTTGGGAATTTTGGGTGATTCAACCTCAACTTGGGGTCGAATCTTGAAATAAATTGTATATTTGAACTCGTGGTTATGGGTGATGGGATTTGAGTCCGAGCGTCGAGTTTGGACCATGTGGGCCCGGGGTCGTATTTTGGTATTTTTGGAAGAATGCTAGGGACTTCATTTCTAGGCTATGAGATTTTGTTTTTGAGCCTTTATTGATATTATTGAATTGATTATGCCTAGATACCATTGTTTCAGAGTTGGATTGTAGAGGAAAGGCGGTATTAGAGAGTTGATTGCTATTCTTGGACCGAGGTAAGTGCTTGTTCTAACTTTGGCTTGAGGGAATAGGATTATGATATTATTTGCTAATTGCTAAATGTGGAGTACGGTGTATAGGCATGGTGACGAGTATCTATACACTGATGTCAAGCATGACTGTGGGTCCTTACTTGTACTTATTCTGATATTGTTGTGACTCTTCCATGTGCAATCGACGATCTTTATATAATGTGAAGAGTATGAGAAATAATTATGAACTGTAAAACCTTGGGAACGTTGGCTCGAACGATTAAAGAACTAATGAATAAGAAATGAAAGAAATAGAAAGAGATGTGATAAATCCCTTGTCGGGATGTGAAGGTTATTGTTGTTGCTCCCTTGCCGGGAGGTTTTATTGGTGTTATAGCTTTATTCCCTTGCCGGGAATTAGTTGTGTTGTTATGTTCCCTTACCGGGGTTTCTCTACTGGTTATTCTTCTCTTGCTCCGTAGTTGTGACTGATGTTTGGATGAGAAAGTATGATCTTAGTGGGTCGGGTTGCGCGCCGCAACAAGGATAAATAATATCCACACAAATCGGGTTGCGCGCCGCAACAAGGATAAATAATATCCACACGGATCGGGTTGCACACCACAACAAGGATAAATAATATCCACACGGATCGGGTTGCACACCACAACAAGGATAAATAATATCCACACGGATCGGGTTGCGCGCCGCGGCAAGGATAAATAATATTCATACGGATCGGATTGCACGCCGCAACAGTGTTACAGAGTGATTGGATCGGATTTTACGCCGCAACAAAGTATGGGATAAATGTGTTATTTTCGGACTTGAGTTTTGTTGGCTGATTTACTTTTATTTAGACTCCTTGTTTATAACTGTTGTTTCCCCAGCATGTCTCCCCCCCCCCCCCTCCTTCTTTTATAAACTGCTTATCTCCTGTTTATTTTTCGCAAAGTATATTTCATATCTGTACAGGTTTATCTAGTAGTCGGGTCTAGCCTCGTCACTACTTCGCCGGGGTTAGGCCGGACACTTATCAACACATGAGGTCGGTTGTGCTGATGTTACACTTCTGTGCTTTTTGCACAGATCACGATACCGGAGCAGCTTTTGGACCACAACAGTATTGAGCGGGAGCTATTTTCAGTCCAGGGACTCACGAGGTATTGTAGCCGGCGTTCGCAGGCCGAAGTCCCTTCTATGCTTTCAGTTTGTTTTCTTTGTATCGAGACAAACATTATGTAATTTCATTTCAGACTTGTTTTTAGTACTCTATAGCAGTCCGTGAGCTAGTGACACCAGACTCTGGGTAGAAATTTGTTTCAACTTCCGCATTTTGATTTCAGTCATATAAGCTTAAATGTCTTCCGCTTTTATTTAATTGCTTCAGTTTATTTATATTGTAAGATGTCATCAAAAAATATTTTGAATGTTTGGCTTGCCTAGCTCCGATATAGGCGCCATCACGACTCCCGATGGTGGAAAATTCGAGTCGTGACAATCTATAAGTAAAATTATCTCCCATTAAGTGATTAATTTTGTCCCCAAAGAAAAAAAAACTTTTCATTAAATAATTTTTGTTTATTACATTAGAGGTGAATCGGGTGAATTAGAAAGGAACGAATAGTAATTTAATGCTTTATACACTCAATTAAATGGATCCAATGAGGGTTGAGAGTATTCTATTTCTCCTTCATTTACTTTCCAGAAACGTATCTCATCATTATCATGAAAAATGCATCTCCTTATTATCATAGAAACTTATCTCCTTTTTTTTTTTATCTTTCTTAAATTCTTTATTCTTTATAGACTTAACAATAGAGGTTGAACATTATGTTTTCACCCGTAGTTATTGTAGTTTGTTAGTTTTTTAAGTTTAATTTTCTTAATTATTCAGCTTTGATTGTTTTTCATTACATCTTCAATGCTTATAATATTTTGGCGTTGCAGTCTTTTGGCATTCTTTATTACACTCTATAAAGATGCATAACAAAAGTGTTTATGGTTGCAAACTTGTACGTACATGAAACATATGTGGTTCATGCTTTAATTTAGTGTAGAAATGATGTTTTTTCTACTACAAGTAAGCTTGTAATCTATTCTTTCCTTCAATTAACTTAGATAATTGGTGATTTTTAATTTATTTATTATTCTAGGTTATCACAGTGTTAGTTCCTATATTGATGAACATGAAACTTCCATAATGACAAAGGGAAGATGTAACGACCCGACTGGTCGTTTTGAGCAATTGCGCTCGCTTCGGTAGTTTGAGGTATCGAGCAGCTTCATATTATGTATATCGACTTGTGTGCATGGTTGGATTCGGTTTCCGGATGAACTAGAATTAAATTGGAGGAAGGAACCTAGTTATGGAAGTTTAAACAGTGAAAATTTGACCGGAATAGGACTTTTGAGTAAACGGCCCCGAAATGGATCGTGGGTGATCCCAACAGCTTTGTATGGTGATTTTGAGCTTAGAAGCGCGTTCGGATTCGGATTTGGAGGTCCGTAGGATAATTTGAGGTGTTTCGGCGAAAGTTGGAAAAGTTAAAGTTTTGGCCCATAGTTGACTTTTGTGATATCGGGTCGGAATGCGATTCCGAGAGTTGGAGCAGCTCCGTTATGTCAATTTAATATTGTCTGCAAAATTTGGCATTATTCCAAATTGAATTGATAGGTTTCGGTATGAAGTTTGATGTTTGAAGATTTGGAAATTTCTAAGCTTGATTTTTGGTTTGATTCGTTGTTTTGTTGTTGTTTCATGTGATTTGAAACCTCGAGCGAGTCCATGTTAGGTTATATGACTTGTTTGTGTGATTAGACGGGGTTTCGGGAGCCTCGGGTGTGTTTCGGATGGGCTACGGGTCATTTTTCTTTATTTTTGAATTGTTGTATCTGCTTCTGGTATCCTATTTCGCGTTCGCGAAGCTTTGTTGTTGGCCACCTGAAATCCTTCTTCGCGTTCGCATTTACAACCTCGCATTCGTGAAGCACTGTCTCTCCCTTCATCGCGTTCGCGTTCCCCTTCTCGCGTTCGCGTAGTTATGTCGTTCCCCTCTTCGCGTTCGAGTACTAGTTCACGAGTTCGCGAAGGGCATTCTTTGGGCCACCAGATTCCCCTTCTTCGCGTTCACGGACATATTGTCGCATTCGCGATTAGTAACCTGAGCACCTTCACTTTTTCTTCTTTGCGAATACGATGTTTCCTCCGCGTTCGCGATACTTTAAATATCTGGGTAGAATATAAGTTTCCAAATCGAGAGTTAGGCTATTTTTAACATTTTTGGAGTTCTAAAGCTTGGTTTTGGGTAATTCTTTGTGGGTTTTTCAAGCAAAACGATTGGGTAAGTATTCTTTACCTAGAATAGATTATATTCCATGAATTTGTTCTTGTTTTTATTATTTAATTTGTGATTTGGGTTGAGTAAAGTGTTGGTTTTTGAAGAAAATTCCTATAATGAAAAATCATGATTTGACGGACCAAATGGTGTCGAAATTGGATAAATTTTGTATGGTTGGACTCATTTTGGAATGGGTGATCGGATTTTGTAAAATTTGACGTGTTCCGAGGTGCGGTCCCAGAGGTCGACTTTTGGGTCGATTTTTATATCTTTGTAAAGATTAAAACATTATGATCCGGAATAGCTTTTTATGTGTTTTATTTGTGCTTTGAAGTTAAATTAGTTAGATTTGAGCCGTCCGGAGGTCTTTTCACCCGAGAAGTGCATTTTAGAGTACTGGTTTGTCGTCTTTGAGGTAAGTATCTTGCCTAACCTTGTGTGGGGGACTTCCCCCTTAGGAATTGATCTTCTATGCTAATTGTAGTTCGTGCATGCGAGGTGACAAGTGTGTGCTCGGACTTATTTGTGGAAAATATGCTCTAGGGTTCGTAGGTCCTTATGTTCAATGTGGAGAGTATTTCGTTATGATTGAGTTTGATAATTGCTTAAATTGTCTCTATATGCTCCAAATGATTTTCCTAGCTTTCCTTGAATTCCTACGTGTTGCATTGATCCTTAATTGCCTCAATTGAAGTGATTTCCCTTATTGTTGTCTGGATATTTCTTGATTGTGAGTTCCTCTATGACTTCGTGCAAATATGTTACATGACCAACTGTTGTGGTTGCCGGTGTAGTTCTCACTTGTTTATTATGTCTTGTTGTGTGGTTGAGGTTTCATTGTGAAGTTAATTGTTGATATAAGTTTGGTTATTGATGCTGCCCTTGCGGGGATATGACGACCCGACCCGTCGTCTCATGTGTTACCTACCCGTTTCCCCAATCTTATGCTTATTCATGTTTCATTATCTGTATTTGGTGTGTTAGAGTTAATTCGGATTGAGTTTGGTAGGAAATGAGATACTTAGTCTCTTTAAGGAAGATTTGGTTTGGAAAAGTCAATCGGATGTTGACTTATGTGTTAGAGGGCTCGGATGTGATTTCCGGTGATTCGGTTAGCTTCAGGGGTAATTTGTGACTTAGGAGTGTGATCAGAAGTAGTTTTGGATGTTCGGAGTAAAAGCTAGCTTGTTTTGGCGAAGTTAGTATTTTGGCAAATTTCGGTTGGTAGGTGAGATTTTGATCCGAGGGTCAGAGTGGAATTCCGAGAGTTGCAATAGCTTCGTTAGGTGATTTGGGATATGTGTGCAAAATTACAGTTGATTCAGGAGTGTTTTGGTTGGGTTTTTTATCGAATGCGAGTTTCAAAAGATTTGGATGAACTTAGACTTGAATTTGATGAAATTTGGTGATTTTTGTGTTAACTGTGGTGTTTTGATGATTCGAGCAAGTTTGAATAAGGTATTGGATCATAGCTGTATTTTTGGTTGAGGTCCCGGGGGGCCTCGGGGTGAGTTCGAATGGTTAAATGGAGAGTTTTGGAATTTTGCGTGTTGCTAAGTCTGCTGGTATCTGGTATTTTCACACCTGCGGTTATGGGACCGCAGGTGCGGTCACGCAGAAGCAGAGGAGGAAGTCGCAGAAGCGAGTCTTGGACTCAGGGCAGGTTCCGCAGAAGCGGAAGTGTGGACCGCAGAAGCGGTCCCGCTGGTGCAATTTCTGGGCCGCAGAAGAGGTCAGGGCCTTTAAGTGGAAAACCGCAGAATCGGTCCCGCAGAAGTGGAAACGGGACCGCAAAAGCGAGAAGACTGTGCAAATTAATTAATTAGTCTTCTTCACGAAATTTTGAAAGAACAACTCATTTCACTTCGGACTTTGAGGGTTTTTGGGCGATTTTGAAGAGGGTTTAGGACTTTGATCAGGTATGAATACTTGGATTTAAAAAATAATTTTGTGGTGAAAATACATGGATTAGAACTAAAAACTCAAGGAATTAAGGTACAAAAATGGTGGTTTAGGGCTTGAAACTTAAGAGGGCGAAAATGGGGAATTGAGGAGTCAGTTGGACTCCGATTTTGGTGTTCTTTATATGTATAGAATCGTGACGAGATAAGGAACCTATTGGTGTAAAATTTTTTGGATTCGAAGAAGTGGGCCCAGGGCTCGGATTTTGCTAATTTCGGGAATTCTTGTTGTTTTTCGATTATTTTGATTGGGTTTGTTCCCTTGGCATATTGTGACGGATTCGTTGTGGTTTTGGTCAGATTCGACGCGCGAGAAGGTCGATTCGAGAGGCAAAGGCATAGTGAGCTAGACTTTTGGCCGGCTTGAGGTGAGTAGTAGATGTAAATAAGGTCCCGAGGGTTTGAAACCTCGGAATTTCATATCGTAACGCTATATTGAGGCGAGACACGCGCTCTATGACGAGTGCGGGGTCGTTTGCTATTGGGGATTATGACTTGGTCCGTCCCGAGTGATGTTTTTACCGTGTCTTTGATTAGAACTTATTTGATATCATCTTTACTTGAGATTATCCTTACTTAGGATTGAATTGTTATATTTGGGCTTCGTGCCGATTATTTGAATCCTTCAGGGATTGTTATCACTGTGTTCACCTTATTTGTCATATTATCTAATATCAATCCTAAGTTTTAACACTGTTTTGAAGACACGGCCATCTTTCTAAGATTTGAAAACTTAATTAATATTTTATCGACATTTTTAGCCGAGAAATAATGCTTTTAAAAATGCCCGAGAGGCTTATGTGAATTTCTGGACTGAGCATGGATCGGGCTGCGCGCCGCAGCAGTATTGATAGAATCCTAGGAAGCTCAAATCTATTCAAGGATAATGATGAAGAATTTGAATCTCAAAGCTGGCTTTTAACAAGATCTCAGGCTAAAAGATTGCAAAACGAGGTCATTGGACTTCAGAAGCAATCAAAGAAGTTGTTAGTTGGGAGGAAGAACTTAATGATAAAGGATATGA